GGACCTCGGGCCGGCCATCGCACCGCCGACACATCGGCATCACATCGGATCGGGCCGGCGAGGATCGGCATATCGAACCGCATCGATCGAAACGGATCGACATGAGCTCGGGCAAATCATGCTTCTGCCGTTGCCGCCCAGGCATCCAAGGTCGTATTTCTCCTACTTCCCCCCTCAAACTTTCTGGGGTCCTCGTGTGTGTCGTGAAGACGCGGCGGGTGCTGGGCCCGGTGAGTCCCGGCCTCCCTCGGGGTTCCCCGGCTTTGTCCTCCTACAAGGGCCTTCCTCGGGAATTCCCTGGTCTTGTTTCCTTGCAAGGGCCTTGGATTCCCCGGCCTTACTCCTCGGGCTCCCCGGTCTTGTTCCTTGCTTGGGTTCCTCGGTTTCCTCGGTCTTGTTCCACGGGGTCCCAGGTTTTGTGCCTCGCTTGGGTTCCTCGGGTTCCCCGTTCTTGTTCCTCAAGGTCCTCCGGCATTGCAAGGCAATTCCTGCCCATGCAAGGAAATGCCACGCAATACCAAGCAGTGCGAATCAAAGCCAAGCAATGCCAAGCGATGCCACGCAACGCCCAGCAATGCGAAGCAATGCGCCCATGCAAAATGAAACTTTCCCCTAATTGGTGTCACGCCGAAGTCCTAACCCTTTTCCCTGGGGCTGTTTTTTATCCCGAGCCGCTCGTTGACGGTCAAAAGCCTCTCGTCGTGCTCTCTTGCGCCGCGAGCGTGTCTGGGGCTTCTCTCCCACAGCCTCTCCCTGGGTGCGTTCTGACTAGAAGTTCGAGACGAATCCAGCCGTGGAGACGAGGGCGTCCCAGGAGACCCTAAAACGGCGAAAACGAGCCAAGGTTGCTGGCATCGGTGCCGCCTCCTGTGCTTTCCGGAGGAGCAGCGCCGGTGCCGTTTCTCTGTTCACGAGCCGCGCTTTCCTGCACTCCCCATGTGCGAGTGGCTCGAGCGAACACGACACGGCGCCTTGCAGGAAAGCGCGAGCCACGCGTTCCCACACTACCGACTCCTACATCGCCGTTGCATGCATCGCCGTCAGCCCGTCTACGGTGGCTCTCCAAGGGAGTTTGGACGCCCGAAATGGATACCGAAAAAATGGGTAGAATGCTGCGGCCCAAATGTTGTCCCAAACCAACAGCGGCCGCTGTTGGGCAGGCGGCCTCCTGTCTCGAATGGACACAGGCCGCGGCGGCGTGGACAGCGAGCCCTGTTCAAAATGAACCATATCCGCTGTTGGGCATTGTACCCATTCTTTCAATACCCATTTCGTGCGTGCAGAGGGAGCAGCGCCTGTCCGTCGCCGCGGGGTCCGCGCCCGCGTCCAGCAGGGCGGCCGCGGCCGCGCGCCAGCGGAACGAGGCGGCCAGGTGCAGCGGGCGGGAGCCCTGGCTGTCCTGCGGGTGAGGCTGCCCTCTCCTGGGGCCCTCTCGGAGCCCTCTCGGAGCCCCCTTGGGCCCCTTTTGGACCTCCCCGCGTCCTCGTCCTCGTCCTCGTCCTCGTCCTCATCGTCGTCGTCGTCGTCGCCCTTCCCTTCCTCCTCCTCCTCCTCCTTCCCCCCGCCCCATACAAAACCGGAAACCGCATTCACGACACAAGCAGAATGCATCGATTCTCTGATTTGGCCGTGGCCGCAACGATCGCCCGTCCCTTACCCCTTCGCGTCGTGTAACAAGTCGCCACGTATTGTTGGTTTGGTATTTTTGGCCTCTGGGGACCCTCAATTGGCTCAGGAGGAGAAGCCGTTCCAAGGAGTAGGTCGAGACCCCTGGGGGCTCAACCTGCGGAAAAATCTCAACGTTGGGAATCCGGGGTGTCCGTGACGACTGCGGTGGAATCTCGATGGCTGCCAAGGTGCAGTCTCCAGAGGCAAGAATGCGAGCAACCTCGCCGGACTGACGAACTGCCCCATGCAAACTCAAACCTCCGGCGTCGTGATTTTTTCGCCATATCGACTCCCAGAGGTCTGGACCCCTTCCCCGGGACCGTTGTTCGATCTGGAGTCGTTTTTGACTCTACTGGAGACCGGTGATGGCCCTGGCTGCCGAACACTGCCAACAACCTCCCGTCGTGTTCTTTCACGACGAAAAGAAGTCTGAGCGAGTTGAGCAGCCTCTCCTCTCTCCCCGCCAAGACTTTGGGACACACCTGCAACCTCAGAGCAACGCAGTCGGAGAGCGCACCGAATCTGTACCGGCGATCGTCATCACGGTGCCGCCGCGCACTCGCTGCTTGCCGCCCAGCTGCTGCTGTCCTGGAGCTCTGGGTCGTTGTGGTTAGACAGCTTCTCCGATTCATGGTGTGCGAATCCGGCAACGGCGTCCCCAATGCCATCGTTTCTCCTGACTGGCGCCACCCCTTGCTGGCTGCCCAGCGGCGGCTGGTTCCCAGCCTGGTGGCGGCTCGGCGCCCCCAGCGGCACCAAGCCTCGCAGCGCGACCCCGTGCTCTCTCGTGACCTGCGTCAGTATGGTCCTCCTGGAGGCGATCTGAGTCGGCACTGCGCCCGCCACCCAGCTGCTTGCTCGCTCTGGGTGGCCGGCGCTCCCACCCTCTCTCTGGAACGGAGGGGGAGGGCGAGGAGGAGGGAGGAGGGGGAGGAGGAGGGGGAGGAGGAGGAGGAGGAGGAGGAGGAGGAGGAGGAGGAGGAGGGAGGGAGCGGAGGGAGGGGGAGGGCGAGAGGAGGCGGGAGGAGGAGGAGGAGGAGGAGGAGGAGGAGGAGGAGGAGGAGGAGGGAGGAGGAGGAGGAGGGGAGGAGGAGGAGGAGGAGGAGGAGGAGGAGGAGGAGGAGGAGGAGGAGGAGGAGGAGGAGGGGAGGGGAGGAGGAGGAGGAGGGGGGAGGAGGAGGGGGAGGAGGAGGAGGAGGAGGAGGAGGAGGAGGAGGAGAGGAGGAGGAGGAGGAGGAGGAGGAGGAGGAGGAGGAGGAGGAGGAGGAGGCGAGGAGGAGAGGAGGGAGGAGGAGGAGGGAGAGGAGGAGAGGAGGAGGAGGGGGAGGAGGAGGAGGAGGAGGAGGAGGAAAAGGAGGAGGAGGAGGAGGAGAAGGAGGAGGGCGAGAAGGACCCGAGGCTCCGACGACTCCTCCGAAAGCAGGAACTAACGAGGAAGGCCACATGAAAAGGCGACAACCTCAGCCGCACTGGGTGCCACCGCTTGGGGGGCGCCCGTTCGCGTGTGGCACCTGGCCGTAAAATTTCTTGAGGCCGTCGTGCGGGCTCGGCTGGATTCCTAGGTTACTGGGCCTCTGCAACCAGCCAGTACAGTGCGGGCGCGGCCGCAAGCAACCCTCGCAAGAAACCCAACCCTGAAAACCCGCGCGCGAGGTGCACCCGAGGAGAAACCCGGAGCACCCTGAACGCAGCAGCTCCTTCAACGGCCGCGGGAAGTCGCCGCGCAGCGCGAGGAGCAAAGAAACCCAGGATGCCCTGACGAAAAGCACGTGGTCTCCTGATGCGCGCCCCCACTGGAACACGGGGGATTGCCGAGCGGAGGCAGATCCCCCGCGTGCACGGCAGAGCACACGTCGGCCCCCCGTGGCCGTGCGGTGGCCACGGATGAGCTCACACGGCCCGTCGGCACCACTCGACGCGGTCGGCGCCCAGCAAAAAGGGCCGCCCATCCCCCTCCTCCTCCTCCTCCTCCTCCTCCTCGTCCTCGTCCTCGTCCTCCTCCTCGTCCTCCTCGTCCTCCTCCTCGTCCTCGTCCTCGTCCTCCTCCTTCTCCTCCTCCTGTCCTCCTCCTCCTCCTCCTCCTCCTCCCCTTGCTCCCACTCCTCCCCCAGACCACGGGCCGCCCCCAGGCGCGGCACCCGACGCGGCTCCCCCCAATGGGGCCGCGGGCGGCTGGCCCGAAGAGCAGGCCGCGGCCGAGGGCGGGCTCGCTCCAGGGGCGACGGAGGAGCCCCCAGGGGGCCGAGGCCTGAGCCTCGGACCCGGGTTTTTCCAGACCCAGGCCGACGAGGGAGGGGAGGGGAGGGAGGGCGAGGAGGGAGGAGGAGGAGGAGGGAGAGAGGAAGAGACAGGAGGAAGGGGAGGAGGACACCGAGGCCGAGGAGGACGAGGGGCGGGATGAGGACGAGAAGAAGGAGGATCAGGAGGGAACGTGGATTCGTAAGGGGAGGGTGTGGACGAGGACAAAGGGTATCATGTTTTAGGCACGAGGGGGCCACGGGTGCATCTGACTCAGCGCCTGCACTCCGTCTCGGAGAGGAGCAATCATACCTTCACACGGCGCAGCTATGCGCCCTAACCTCTCGCAACGACGCCACCCATGCGCAACCCAGCACGCGCTCTGTCTCCGCTGCCCGACGCCGCCTAAACCGGGGCAGCGCAGGGGTCGAAGGATCCCGCCGCATCGCCGACGCATCGGCGACAGCGGGATGGAGAAAGTCGGGCCCTGGATCATTCCGCATCGCCGATGCGGCGCGACCCTCCGACCCCACCCACTTCGGCCCACTCTTAAGAGAGGCCTGGAACCGTCGCTCCCAACTGGGTCTGCAGCGGAGCTGAGACCGAGCCGAGGGCGCGCCGGGTGGCGGGAAAAACAAACGTCTTCTCGGTCCGTGCAAGCCTGTCTGGGGAGGCCTCTATAGGTGGCCCTACCCAGCACGGAGGGACACGCTGCGGGCAGTCTGGCCAGGACCAGCCACCTGCGCTTATACCAACGGAGCGGCGCTGGCCCGAAGCAGTGCCACCAGGCTAACCCGAGAAAGTCTCCCCAGAACTAGGGGGCAACGATAGGGGGGGACTGGCATAGGGGGGGACTGGCATGGGGGGGGATGCAACGACCTGGAATCGGCGATGCATCGCCGATAGATCGGCGACAGGCCCCTATAATAGTGAATCCGCACCTTCCTGGGCGGGTTGGGGCTATCGGGCCCCTATCGGCGATCCATGGGCGATTGGGGCTCGATGCCTCCCCCCCTAATTATGCCTATCCCCCCCCCCTATCGTTGCCCCGGATTGCCAGCGGAGCGGCGCTGGCCCGAAGCAGTGCAACCAAGCTAACCCGAGAAAGTCTCCCCCAGCACCACGCCCTCCACCTCGTCCTCTCCGGCCGGCGGCTTGGACCCAGCCGCAGGCAGCGCGGCCGTGGCCCGCACGGGCGAGGGCCCTGCCGCGGTGGCACCGCCGCTGGCCCCGTCCCGTGCGGGCTCGTGGGCCCGCTGCCCGCGGCGCCTCTCGTGGGCCAGCTCCTCCTCCAGCGCCGCGATGCGCCGGTCCTTGCCGCCCAGCCGCGCCTCCAGCTCCGCCCTCTCCGCGGCCCACTCCGCGCTCCGGAGCGCGTGGAGCTCGGCCGCCCTCCTCTGGGCGGCGTCGCGCTCCTGCTCGGCGGCCGCGACCCGGCGCCGCAGCTCCGCCACCTCGAGGCTGGCTGGCGCTGTGGCCAGGGCCGTGGCCGCGGGCGCGTCGCTGGCCCAGCCGGCGAGGCTGTCGCCTCGGCCCTCGGCAGGCTCCGGGCCGGCGGCTGGCGCCCCCGCGGCCAGCGCAGCTTCGCCGCGCTGGCCGGCGCGCGCCAGCGACTGCCTGCCGGCGCTGAACAGCCCGCCGACGGCGTTCAGCAGCTGCTGCCGCCGCCGCGGGCATTCCTCGGGCGTCGCGGCGCGGCCCGGGGCTGGCGCGCAGACTTCGGCAGTGACGTAGGGTCGCTCGGCCAGCCTGCCGCGCAGCCTCGCTGCCGCCTCCACCAGCTGCTCCACGGACGACTCTGACGGCGCACCCTGCTCTGGGGCCCGAGCGCTTGCCATCAGTCGGCGGAGGCAGTCGGTCTGGTCCCCACTGAGCAGCTCGCCACGCTGCCGCACCAACAGAGCCACGGCGAGGTAGTCAACAAGGGGCAGCGCAGAGGATGCTGCGGAGGCCTCGCGGACAATCGCGGCCGAGTCGGGCCCGAAGCTCGGGTACGGCGGACCCGAGACGCTGCAGGTGCGATGGGCGTCCGCGAAGATCCGGTCCCACAGCAGCACCGCCTCCTCGAGCTCGAACTCGCGGCAAAAGAACAGCCGCAGCCAGCGCAGCAGGAACACCGGCGGCTCGACCTCCAGCTGCTGCAGGTGCGCGTGGAGCTCCCCGTCCACGGCCTTCAGCAGCACGTCGTGGATGCATCGGCTACACGCAGGAGTGACCCCAGGCAAGCGAGACCGTTGATGCGCGGCTCTAGGGTGCCGCGGAAAGGCGGATCGAAGCGCGCGAGATAATGCTGCTGGGGGGGCTCCGTGAGCCCGCACTTAAGGCCACTCCGGCGAAGGGTCACTCTTACGTGCAGCCGCATGTACTGGCAGCGCGCGAGGATCGCCGACGCTGGCGGGCCCGGCTCCGCAGCGCTGGGCTCCCGGCGGGGGCGCGGCAGCTCGCCAACAGGCGACCTGGCAGGCTGCCGCGGGCAGGCGCTCGTGCCCGGGTGCGTGAACATCGCCAGCTGCGCTGCGCCCACCATGAGCTGGTCGAAGAGCGTGAAGGCGTCCGCCTCGTCATGGGCTGGGCCGCACAGGCGGAAGCCGAGCGGCTCGGGGCCCTGCGTGGCTGCGCCGGCGAGGGCTCCCTGCTTCACGACGCTGAAGCAGATGGCCGCGAGCTCGTTCATGCCCTGGCGATAGCCGTGCTCAGCCAGCCCAGCATCTCCACCGCCCCGTTGGCGGCACCAGTGCAGCAAGATCCGCTGCAGGGCTTTCCGGCTCTCCGTGCTGGAGAGCAGGTCGTCCTCCGAGAATGTCCGCTCCACGTCCTTCCAGATCTCCCTCAGCAGCTCCTCGCTGGCGCGGATCTTCACGAACGGGTTCCCCGCGCTCCTGGACAGCGGGTTGCACAGGTTCGGGTCCAGCGCCTGGATCGCGGTCTCCCTGTCGAAATCCTCCACGGCGGCGGCGTACCTCTGGAAGCCCGAAATGGGAGGAGGAGGAGGAGGGGGAGGAGGAGGAGGAGGAGGGGGAGGAGGAGGAGGAGGAGGAGGAGGAGGGGGAGGGGGAGGAGGAGGAGGAGGAGGAGGAGGAGGAGGAGGAGGAGGAGGAGGAGGAGGGAGGAGGAGGAGGAGGAGGAGGAGGAGGAGGAGAGGAGGAGGAGGAGGAGGAGGCCCATGCTGTCCAGAGCCAACAATCGGCCGCTTGTGGGCGGCTGGCCCTCTTCTGCATCAGGTGGACAACAGCCGCGGCGACACCGGCAGCGCAGCCGGCCAAGACTGGGCAGGAGCTGCTGTCGGCCTTCGTGCCTATCTGACTACCTACCAGACCACCCCAACCCAACCCGAAGACCTGAAATTCGGGTTGGGGGGGGTATGGGCTCCATACGTGTTTTTTCGATGATCCCGGACCCCCCCCCCCAACTAGAAATCGAGGGTACATCTGAGCCTTCGGGTTGGGTTGGGGTGGTTTGGTGGGTGGTGACTGTCGTTTTCGCACCCACCTTGAGCTTCCGAGCATCGCCTGCACGCAGAAGAAACCCTAGGCAAGAGAGACCCGTGCCGCGCAGCTCTAGGGGGCCGCGGAGCAGCCAACACTCGGCGCGCAAGACCAGAGGTGGGGGCACCCCTGTGGGCCAGCACCACAGGCAACTCTGGAGAAGGGCCACTCTTACCCGTAGCCGAGAGCACCGGTGCCGGTGCGCCTCGAGCTCGTCGACCCAATCCTGGGGGGACCAAAAGTTACCGATACCGCTCCTCCACGGACCTCTCCCCGGACGGATTCCGATCAGATTTTCGAGGCGACTCCAGCGGTGGCGACGAGGGCCTCCCAGGAGGCCCCCCAAAAAGCAACAACGAGGCAAGGCTAGCGGTATCGACTATCGATACCGCGAGCCCTCTGGCTGGCAAGGCTGGCGGTCTCGATACTCCCTATTCCGTAATTAAGAAGGTGGGGGAGGTCTGATTTGAGCCGTCTTGGAGGGCTCTGGGGGGTCTGGGCAAAAGCCCATCCTTCCATGGCTGGTACCGGGGAGGTCTGACACGGCCCGTCGTACGCGTACCCAGAGCTCCGATGTCGTGATTTTTTTTCAATGCGGGGTCCCCAGAAGTCTCGACCCATTCCTCAGGACCGGGTTCTCATCCTGAGTCGTTTTTTGACGGTCCCGGGGCCCAGCGAGGGCCGCTAGAGGCCGAAAATAGAGAAACACCTCCATCTTGATTTTTTCAATGCGGTGGAGGTCTGGGACCCCCCTTTTTTTGTTCTCTCTCTCTCTCTCTCTCTCTCTCCAGAATCGAGATTGCATCTGCCTGTTCGGAGCTCCTCCGGCGAGCCCCCGCGCAGGGCGCCGAGCAGCACCAGCCAGGCCAGCCGGCGCAGCGCCCGCAGCTCGCCCACGAGCGCGCCGGCCGCGCCGGCCTCCACGAGCCAGCCTCTGCCGCGCGCCAGGGCCCGCGACAGCGCCTCCTGCGTTTAAATCGGGCGTGTCCCCCTACAGGGGGCTTTTGGGCGAAAAATTAAGAATACCCCCCCCCCAAAATACACAACAAATGGACAGAAACGGTGCAAAAATAGTCCCCAGACTATTTTTGGACCAATTTTGAAGATTCTCCCTGTAGAGGGACAGGCCCGACTTAATCCTGCGTGAGATCCGACGATGCCGACAAAATCGCAGCCTCGCGAAAGAAAAATCATGACCGGAGTCTGCAGGAACCCTCTTCCCGCGCCACGTGCTGCGCTAGATCGGTCTGTGAGGGCCCTGGGGCCTGACGCCGGGCGACAAAAAGCCCGTTGTGCAGAAGATGCGGCGCCAGGATCCCCAGACCACCGACGTCATGATTTCTTCATGGCGTCAGCCCCCAAAAGTCTCGACCCATTTCCTGGGATAGGCTTTTCATCCCGAGCCAGTTTTTGACAGCCCCGAGGCCCGGCGAGGGCCCCTGGAGGCCGCAAATAAGATAAACTCCTCGCGTCGTGCTTTTCGGGTGTTGCATGGCCTGAGGGGATCTGGGTCTGAGGCTCCTGCGTGAGGCCCGCCGCGCCTGTGGCTAGCGCCGCCATGGGCCCGCGCCGCCCGCAGTGGTGGTGGGCGGCGCGCAGAGGTGGGTATGGGGAAGGGGGGAGACTTCTTAGAAGGAGGCCGCGTCTCAGAAGGCGGCAGCCTCACATCCACAGACAAGGCCCGCGCTT